GCAGAAAAGGACCTGGGGGTCTTGGTTAACAGCCAGCTGAATGTGAGCCAGCAGTGTGCCCAGGTAGCCAAGGCCAGTGGCATCCTGGCCTGCATCAGGAACAGTGTGGCCAGCAGGAGTAGGGAAGTGATTGTCACCCTCATACTTTGCACTGGTGAGGCCACACCTTGAATCCTGTGTTCAATTTTGGGTCCCTCACTACACGAAAGACCGGTGCTGAAGCATGTCCGGACAAGGGCAATGAAGCTGGTAAAAGGTCTGGAGAACAAGTCCTGTGTGGAGCGGCTGAGGGAACTGGGGTTGTTCAGCCTGCAGAAGAGGAGACTCAGGGGAGACTTCATCGCTCTCTACAACTACTTGAAAGGAGGTTGCAGAGAGGTGGCTGTTGGTCTCGTCTCTCAAGTGACAAGCTATAGGACAAGAGGAAATGACCTCAAGTTGTGCCAGGGGAGGTTTAGGTTGGTTATTAGAAAGAAAGTCTTCACCAAAAGGGTTCTCAGGCATTGGAATGGGCTGCCCAAGGAGGTGGTTGAGTCACTATCCCTGGAGATGTTTGAGAGGTGTGGATGAGGTGCTTAGGGACATGGTGTAGTGGTGGTACTAGCAGTGTTAGGTTAGTGGTTGGAGTTGATGATCTTAAAGGTCTTTTACAGCCAGATCAATTCTATGGCTCTGTTCTATGATTCTGAGAATAAATTCTGAGCCAATAAATTACAATTTGTCTTCAGTAAGTCGCTATAAGAATACCATCAGCAACTGATGCTTTGATACTTCTCACTGTTCCAGTTCAAAGTTTCAGTTTTTATAAAACACATTTCTTTCACAATGGTTCAATTTCTGGAAAGTGACAAAACCAGCTTTGTAACAAGTAAAGGAATGAAAAGAAAACATGCTATACCACCCACAGACCTTACATGGACTCATCATTATATTATTATACAAATAATCACAGTGATCCTCCATAAATTACCAAGACTGTTGTCAGCAGGTGAAAAAAGTGATTACTTCCCCCTACTCCCCTTCTCTCTCAGGAAGAAGCATCTTTCAAACTTTTCCAGTTTCGAGTTCTCCACTTCAAGAAAAACAGAGATATAATGGAACAAATGCAATGGAAAATCATCAGGAGGATTAGAGGGCTGAGACATAAGATGCAAACAGAAAAGCTGAGAGCTGTCAGTCTTGAGAAGGATGAAGGACAAAAAACCTCCTACTGCTGTCTCAAGCTACCTAACAAAAGGCTACAAATAAGAGGGAATCAGATTCTTCTTGGAGGTGCGCAACGAGCAAAAGGCAACAGCCACAAGTTGCAACAAGAGATATTCCAAAAAGATGAACATGAGAAAGATTTCACCACAACAGTGACAAGCACAGGAACAGGTTGTCCATCCATACATCTCCATCTTCAGGGATCTCTCAAACACAGCTGGACAAAGCCCAAGCAACATGAACTAGGCTGGACTTTTACAAAGTGATTCACCTTTTACAAACATGATTGGACCAGATAATCCACAGATTTCCCTTCTAAACTAAGTAATTCCCTGACTGAAGAACATCTCTGTCATCCTCAACGAGAGTGATCTTTCCTCTCCACATACAGTCTTTGCTCCATCTTACTACTCACTACTATTTTTCCTACACTCTGAAGCTAGATCTTCTCTTAGTTTTTTATTCTTGCAATAACGTTTCTTTCATACCTCCATAACATCTTCAGTTATTTCAACTGCTTCAATACCCATTCAGAATCAACCTAATTTATAACTTCTATACAAACATCTGCTAAAGCTTCAGATCTATTCTACAATGTTCTGTATTCCTTTTTCTAGTAGAAATTCCTGAATAGATAATAATACGTAATACATACACATAAGACTTCCTCTTCCAGATCAACACTGAAATACTTTTGGCACATCAGCTGGCAAAATGCAGCAACTGAATATTTGAGTACTTAAATGTGATTTTACTTAATCAAAATAAAATTCACTTAAAGCATCATTGAACACTCTGCTCCCTGCTTCTACAGCTAGATAACTCTTCTTACACAATGACTTCAATGAAAAGAGTGCATAAGCAGACCCTTCAACTGAGTGGAAACCAGCTCATTCTTTGCATGCCATCATTTGGATAAAGAATCATTTTCAACTTCTAGTCTTCCTGGTTTTAGAGGCCAAGCTTTAAAAACAGTCAAGGACTGTTCCCAAATGGAATCTAGTGAATAGCTTGCTGATTTGACTTCAGAAAGCAAGGGGTTAAGTCTTTTCAAGACAGAGAAGTGAAGAAAACTGTGTGCTGTAAATTTCTTTGGCAAGTTTCGTTATAATCAGTAAGTTATGTATAGGCTACAAAGAAGCGTCCTCTCTCTCCATGGTCATGAGAACAAAAGCAGTTGCTTTGCTGCCCTTTGTACTAGAATTCATGCTGTTAATAAGAGACACTGAGATGCCTGGTGTTGTCTACTTACATGTTTAAGCATTCATGCACATTTCTGTAAACCACTCACTTGAACAAAGATAAAACTTAGCTCCACATCCCCTTTAGACACCTACTGGCTGTTTCAATAAAATGTTTAGTATCTACACCTCCTTTGAAAAATTAAGATGGCACACATATCCTTATGAGACAGATCTCAAAACTTAAAATAAAAATTAAGCGATTAGCTCCACCTGTAAAATAAAATTTATTTTGTCCCTGCACAGTATAGCCTTTTAATAACAATACCCCGCCCTAATTTGGTATAAGAGTATACTTCACTGATTTTTTTAACTGTACTCTCCTCTATTAGGTTTTGTCAAAACAATGTATTCAGTCCCTTCGGTTATACTTTGAAAGGATGTTAATCTTGTTAACTGTAATGATCTTCCCATCTATGGAGACTCACAATCCTCTTCTCGGCCATTAACATGTTCATGTTTGGCCTGAACATCATCTTGTCTCCCAGATTTTACTGTTTAATTACACATAGGAAACAGTATTTCCTCCAGTGGCTTTTAAACCTTCCAACCTATTCTTTCAGGTAATATTCCTGGGAATTCTCCTAGCATTATACAGGCACCACAGTTATCTCTTAGACTTACTCTAGAATGTTCAAGCAAAAATGTTTACGGCATTTGACTTTTCCTGCCTTTTCATTTTTGTACAACATTCTTAGTAATATTAAGTATCAACAGCAATGAACTGTTTGTGGTTTAATCCCAGCCAGAAAATAACTACCACAAAGCTGCTTGCTTGCCTCCCCCAGACATTCAGTGGAGGAGGAGAAGAGGAGGAAAAGACAAGGAAATTTGTGGGTTGAGATAAGAACAATTTAGTAATTGAATATAAACAAATAAAATAGTGATACTATTAATACTTGCAGTACTAATGATGCTAACAAAACTATTAACACTATCATTACTAATAATAATATGTACTGAAAATAATACTACCACTATTAATAACAATATGTAATGAAAGTAATGGAAAATAAAAGAAATTATACAACTGCTCACCACCCTGCCAGGCCCCAAGTAATCAGAGCCACGGCCCAAGAGAGAGATCACACGAGAGTCAGAGCAAGCCCCAGTGGGCCAGAGAGCACAAACGAGAAAGCCAGCCAACCAACATGGCCCAATAAAAAAAAATAGGAATGAAAGGAATTGAAAAAAAAAAAAATTATACAACTGCTCACCACCCTGCCAGGCCCCAAGTAATCAGAGCCACGGCCCAAGAGAGAGATCACACGAGAGTCAGAGCAAGCCCCAGTGGGCCAGAGAGCACAAACGAGAAAGCCAGCCAACCAACATGGTCCCCTGCCCACCTCTACCTTACATACTGACATAATATTTTATGGAATGAAATATGCCTTTGGTCAGCTTGGGTCAGCTGTTGGGACTGTGTCCCCTCCCAGCTTCTTTTAGCAAAAAAGTTGGGAACACAAGGTTCAATATCAGAAATGGAAACAAGTCCTTGACTTGGTGCAAACACTCATTAGCAGCAATTAACACCACGAAGTGTTATCAGTACTCTTCTCAGCACAAATCCAAACCACAGCCTGGTACCACCTACTATTAAGAAAGTTAAATCTGCCCCAACCAGCACAGCTGTAATACGAAGTTGAAATAGTGCTAAACTATAAGTCTGCTTTGACAAAAGTAGAATACAGTTCTTGATTACAGCAATAAATCAATAAAGATTGGATAGTTTACACCAAACCATACAAAAAAGAAAAAAAAGAGAAAATTGAGAATGACATGCACTATATTAAATAAAAATATTGACGTAAAATTTGTAAAACAAACTAAAAATATAATAATGCCTTTTGAATTTGAAAGGAATTAATCATTGCACCAAAGTGATAAGTCTCTGACAAAAATTAAGGTAGGGAAAAGGAATACATCAAGAAAAAGCCATGGAAATAGAGGCATTTCATATATCTATATCAGAATAACCTAAACTGCTGAGATGACTTACTTCTAGAAAGGGAAGAAAGGTTAAAAGTCAGGAATACTCTCAAATATTTTGCTCCTCCACAAGGCTTTAAAAGCTCAGTCAGATAAGCAAAATATCAAAGGAGATCAGTGTTGCTACAGGTTTATCAGAAAGTAGAAGAATTCATTAAAAGACTGTCCTCCTTCACAGAAACAAAACACATTCATATGCATTCTGGTGGTAAACACATCTTCTGGATTCTAGATTAGGACACAGTATTTTATTAAGGTATTCTGACAAAATTTCATAAATATTTTTTCAGACGTGACTGAGTAAAAGTCTGTATTATCCAGAAGAATTTCTTCTGGTTTTTGGTAAAGTTTTCCTTATGAGTCTCACAATTTTTGTCACCCTTCAATTAAAACAGTACTATGTTACTGTTTTAAGCACTATGGGATTTACAAACCTTTCCTTCACACGTTCCACTTCGAAACAGAGCACTTATGGAAAAGTCAGAATACAACATCTAGTATTTAAATCCCAAGAATTTCAAAAACACCTCTGAAAACTGAAAATTAAAGTGGTCAATTACTCACCCCTTTTTTGACAACAAAATGTAAGTTCTAATCTGCAAAGCATGTCAGCATTCTCATACTTGTCCTCTTCTGCCTTAACCCAAAAACAGGATTCTGTCATTTCCTGAGGCCTAATCTAGAAACAAGAGACCAAAAAAATTATTAATTATTTTCATACTGTGCGGAGATTGTGCTCTGTAGAATCTAAAGCAAATGAAATACTTAGGAGATCTGTAAAACACATGAACTTTTGGTATATAACACATCCTAAGAACTGTTAATATATTTCTGTTTAAAGACGATAATGCTTACAGTACATGCTTGTGGAGAAACTGATTCTAACAATACAAAGCAATACAAACAACATACTCCATTATCCAGGGTCTAAATGTAGCAAATTCTCTTTGGTCTAGATTTAAAACTTGGGCAAACTTCACAACTTGTGCCTGTGAACACAGCCGGTTTACCTAGATATTAAGTACTTTACTTTTATTCCGTAGCTTTGATTGCTTCATAAAAACCTGCAAATCTTTTTGCTGACTTATTTAGATCTAAATAATTATAGTTTCCAAACCTCAGTAGATTGATAGTCATGGTATACTTGTTCCTGTCACAATGGGGAAGAAAAAAAAATATGGAGTCCATTTATCAACCATTAAATTTATGTTAATTACATTTACACTAAGGACAAAGGGAGAGACCTGCAATGCTTCTTCCCATAGTCCAGGCTAGACAGATGCAAGACGCTTGTATAGCTATCAGTACAGTGCCATGCCTCTTCCAATGTAAACAGTTTGTTAAAAGACAAGGTACAGTAGGACCCCAGAAGCATGCTGGTGTCAAGGTTGCATTATTCTGGACCAGAATTCACTTTTAGAGGCATCTCAAAATCAACACACCTTACTTACCCAGATGATTAGGCAGTCTGTGACACACTGTTTTCAGAAAACAATGAAAACTAAAAAGAGAAAGTATTCATATCTGACATAATTTTAACTAATGTATCAACTGCTCTACATAGCCTTACTCCTGACAATCTACTATTTCTGCTGAGCAATAAGTAAGATTTTACATCAAGTGTTTGCCATTAACCTACCTTGGACCAGTTGAGTCTTTTCATGGTAACTTCAGGTCTGAATTCCTTCTTAGGCTTCATTCCAAATGGCAAAGTACATGAAGGTGGAGACCACAGCGCTCCAGGCAAGCCTGGGAGAGGTGGTGGTGGAGGAGCACCACCAAAAGCCAAAGGAACTCCCAAGCCGTTCAAAACTGGAGGAGGAGGGGGAGGCGGTGGCGGTGGTGGAATTGCTCCATTAGAAGGCAGCGGCGGAGGTGGAGGAGGTGGCAGTTGATGTGGTCCTGCAGCTTCAAGTGGAACAACAGATGCATCTCCACGTGATGACGGTAGGAAACCAGGTGGCAAGGAGCCATACTGATAAGGAAAATATTCTTACTCAGTTTCACAGTTTTTGTTAACAAAATGCCTTAACAGCCATAGTTTAAAGATTAAATCCGGCAAGCCAACTGAAAGTTAGTGACATTTTTCTTGTACAGGATAATCAACTATGAATTATAATGAGACCAATGTGCTTTTGATTTCATAACTGGAAATCTCAACCTTTAAAGTGAACATTCAGACCAGGGGTGCACACCAAAAATTAAAAACTTAAACGCTATATCTCTTTTGTCATATTTCACTGATCATGACCTAAGAAGTGTCTGATAAGTATCTTTAAGAAAGTTATCTAGACTACCACAGTTTAGCTCAAATAGAGAAAAAAAAAAAAACAACCACCAAAACCAAACAACAAACCAACATCCTTGTCTCTTGTGTTCTTACTTATCCTACAGATTAAGGAGAAATATTCCAAGGCAAAACAGAAGAATCTGATGGAATTAGTAATTCTGTTGAAACCCAATATTTTCTAATATACAGGCATTCTCATTCCACAAAACTGAAGACACAAAGTAATGGTGGAAAAAAATCCTTCCAAAAAATACAGCTATCTTACAGTACTTCATTAAACCCATAGACATATAAAACTAGTGGCCATTCTATTTCCTAAAATAGGAAACATTACCCCATTATAACTAAGTACAGAAGAAAAGTAGTAACAGCTCAATATTTTACAGTAGTTCTGAAAACTACATTAACAATTTCTAAGAAACCACACTGATTTCTTATTCTATGTATTAAGGATATATTAACGTATTGAGATGGGCTTATTAGTACTTCAGTAAGTCAAAAAAACCATTTATTTCTACTATTTGAAGAACTTTTATCATAGCCCTTCAAACATTAATAAATATACACTTGAGAAAACCAACAGAAGAATAAATAAGTAATATTTATCTACTGGTGATACTGATTAATACCAGTGATAGTATTAATCAACTTTTCAACTGATAATTATGAGCTGAAATAGCCATTTTTTAAAAAAAATGGAAGTGAATACAATAAGAAAATTATTCAATATTTTTAAAAGGAATTAGATGAGTATCAGTAAATGCAAATATATAAATGCACAACAGTACTATTTTGTATTGCTGAACATATGCATTGTTTACACTGACAAGTAGATGCTGAACAACTAGGCTCTAACAACAACAGAAACACATGAACAAATGACACACACAGCAAAAGAGTAAAGGAACAAGACCAAGAGAAGGGTAGTTATTAACAGGCAGAAGTAGCTATGCTAAGTAGCAAATAATGGCATATGCAAATCAAAGGTTGTTCTTACCTTGAATTTAAGAGTACTAAGTTCTAGTAATCAATTACCTGATATTTACAAAACATTTCAAGTAGAATTAACAGTGGGACTATTCATGGTATGATAATTTGTGAGTACGTTAAAAAATAAGCTGTATTTAATGTACTGAACAATAGAAAAAGTAAAATATGGAGAAAAAAACTATTTCACTCAGAAAAAAAGGATTTAGTTATGTTTTCAAGATACACACATTAAAATATTTTCTTAATGGATGGTATACAGCTGTCACTGAAATTTCTGGAAAGGAACAATTTCTGTAATTGCTTTTTTTGAAACCTGTTTGACTTTGATATTAATAGTTAATTATGACAAAAAACCTGAATTAGAATGACCTCTATGATAAAAAAAAAAATCTATTTTATCACCTTACTATGTGCAAGTCTTCCCAGTGCTGTCTTTCATTAGCCATTTCTATATTGTGCCTCTTACTCCAGGAAATGAGACACTGGAAAAATCCCTTGGGCACACAGTCTCCTCATAGAGATTTTAGAGATGAAGCAGTTGTAGCTGTAACTTCTGTTAACTCGAGTACTGCTCTCAAAAATGTCAACTACTCCTCTCTTAAAACATCTATGTATGCTTCAAAATTGAAAAATTATCAGAAAACGTTCTTATCCAGCCACAGGTTATTTCTTTCAGTGCTGGGTATCCATGGTAAGGCTTCAGCAAAGCAAACTGCATAATGAGTAATTTTCTGCGGAGGGATAAAGATCACAGCGACGAATCCTAACCTAAAAGCATGAGACTTATTACCCTGTGTGGTTAATTACTTTGGAAATAGATGACACTGAAAGCAAAACCCAAATGAAACATTTAAGAAACTAGTTTAATTAACAGAGCTCAGGCACAAAAAGAATCATCTGGGAACTCAAATGGCTAATTAATGTCACACTACAATTCTTTGTATAAAACAGAAATAAAGGAAAATAAGAGTTGATAACAATTGATAACAGAATTCTTTGGAGGGAAAAAAAAAAACTACCCACCCTCAACTGTACTACCAGAATCTGCAAAAAAATTGCAAAATTAAGTCCACTTCAGAAACAATACTTCATACATTTGTTTAAACTGTCCTATACCTGTGATTTAAAAGCTTGTAACTCCGCTTCAAGTTCACTGATTCTTTCTTCTTTTTTTTGCAGTATGGCCTGGGTTTCCTGGTGAACTACAAAATCTTTTTCAAACTAAGAAAAAAGAAAAGAAAATTGTTGACACTAGTTGTTCTGCATAGTTTCCCTAGATACCAAATTTTCCTTTTGTGTTTCTTAAAATGCATGTGTAAACAGTACTAAGGACATACACAATATAACTGCTGTTCTAACTTCCATGTAATCACTGAGTGGAAGTATCAGCTCTGTTACCATGACAAGCCTTTACCATATGAAATGGCATAAGCACCTAATGTATTTTAAGTTGGGATATAGACTGAGAAGCTTGAAAAATTGATGTAAAATAATAGAGTCTATAGATACACAAGTCAATTCTTATCTGTTCATCCTGTTGAAGACACTGATAGCTGTTCAAATATTCAGTTGATTTTTGGGAGATTTGTAAATGAAACCTTAAAATAAATAGTAGACAGACTCTCAATTAAGATTTACTGCTTTATATCACTTTTCTCTGCTTCCCAGTCTACAAAAAACATTCTAATTCCTACTTAAACATAAGAGCTAATAGTAATTTGAAGTTAAGAAGCATGCCACTTTCAGTTCCACTATTCATGAAGCTTTCATGTAATCCCCCATGTCTATCTTAGAACCACGTAACTTAAAAATTACTTACTTTTTTTGAAAGTTCAGAAGCCCTCTCTTCACATTCTTCTAATCTTGCTTTATCTACACAAGTATCTTGAAAAAAATAAACAAACACACTTGTACATATACAGGGAACACAAGATTCTTCGTCACATGTACAACTTTATCTTAGTTTTTGGAACACGTAAAGAAGTATGACACTGTGATCATTTCCAGGCATAGTACTTACCTACCAAGTGGCTGAAATTTATATCTAATCTTTTACGATACGTGAAATCTGGGTCGGTTCCATTGCGATGTAACACTATCTGGGACACACACTCTTCGATTATTTTGAAATACTGTGGACTAAAGACAGAGATGAGTTCTTTTGCAGCATATTTACATATACCTAAATCCTGTCTACAAACACAGTAAGATTGAAAGATTAGGGCTCACTTATTTCTGTAGAAGGATAGGTGCAAATCTCAAAAGTCTCAAAGGACAAATATCTGGCAGTTTATTACACATGAAAAGTTCATACAAAGCCTGCAAAAACAGCGGACCTAACGACAAGCCATTCTTACATTATAAACTCTCCATCTTGCCCCTGTGAAAACACAGCAAGGAAGGACTCCCTCCTGTTTCCTCCCACTAAAGAGAACACGCTTCCTTCAGCTTGATCCCTTCTGGTTTTGTGACACTTACAACTATGGATGCATTGCAGCTCTGATTCAATGACAGGAATGAAAAAGCACATTACTTCAAAATGCTGGGTGCTATGACAGCCGGGTCACTCACCCAGAAAATGCAAGCTGTGAATTCAGACCCTTCAGAGGAAGAGGTCTAGCACAGGTGTACCCATGTCAGGCAACGACTCTTAACCTTTAAGGATATGTCTCTGCTAGACCTTGCCTGAAATGCAAGGTTATGCAGCATTCTACGCAGAACACAGATGCCTCTCCTTCCCTGTTCAGTTCATATCTGGTTCCTAAAGTGTTTCCTCAAAAAAAAACCCAGCAAGCAGATTTTGGAAAGAAAAGTATTTGGCAGCTTCTAATATTTTATTAACTATTTCCCTATAATTTATCTAACAAATTTTCCAAGGGACACTAACATGTTTACAATGACCTATAACATACGTTGAGAATACTCAATTCCCAACCAAAAGTTACTCTAAATTAAGCATATGTTTAGATTTCTGTATGAAGTGCACTTCTGTGCATACTTGTTCTTGTCCTTTGACTCAAATACACCACACAATTACAGTGCTACTACCATGATTTATAACCAATTAAGAGACCTGTCCTGATCGCTTATACTTACAGTCAGTAAGCTTCAGATCTCAACAAAAATTGTATCTGAAGCAGAAGTGACAACAATATACAGATGGCATTTTTATTCAAAGCTGATACTTCTGAACATGAGTTCACAAAGGAATACTTATGAATTGCCATCTGCACAGAAAAATACCGTATCTATGATTAAATTTATCCAAGAAATTTTCTATTCATGACTAAGTGACAACAAAATCCATATTTAATGTTTAACATAGCATTAAACCTACCGTATAAAATAATCATTTCGTATCAGCAAAAGATGCTGGAGAATAGAAAGAAAATATCCTTCAGCGCTAGTGTCCTTAACAGTATTCCACACCATGTTGTAAACATCATTTACTTCAGTAAAAGAGTTAAGGAGAGTAATAGCAAGGGGAAAAAAAAAATAAAATCCATAATGACTGACAAGTTTTTTTGAACATCAGTTATACCAGAAAAATGTCCATTATACAGTTGATTTTGTTCATGTTTCTTTGGCTGATATCGAAAGGATATTCTAGTTCAGATCTAATATCTTCTAAACGATGAGAGAACTCGATCATGTCTTCTTCCTTATGCTCGTTGAACACCTTCAGCTGAATATCTAGTGCTTCATTCTTTATAGACTTCAATCGCTGCAATGAAGAAACAGCAGAAATGCTTGCAAAATTAGTGTTTCCATATGTAAATAAACCTCATCTTTTTAGTAACTTCCATAAGTCTATCTTATTTTAAAGTTTAAAATTACAACAACATATCAGCTAAGTTAAATATTCAAAAGGTAAACAAGGCTTCAGCCTGGCTTAAACAAGTGTGTGCACAACAGTGTCACATGTTCTAAATCAAAGTCCTAAAACGATGAGGTATTGGCATACAGTTCATAGAGCACACTTCACCTTTTCACTCTTATCTTAAGACTGATTATCATATCTGACTGCTCATACCCAGACTTAATAAAATGCCTTTGAGAATAATTTATTAGAAATTGTTCTCCCATTCCTCCTCTGAAGCTCAAAGACTCCAGTAATTTAAACAGTAATGCAAAGAGAGACTACAAGATGCTTACTGGCAATATCTCTTTCAATCCACTGCGCATAAATTCATTTCTGATGTGAAGCCTAAAATCCAAATCGTCAGGAGATGTAACAAGAGCATTGATGAGCTGCATGCAAGCTACCTATAAAAGAGAAAATATTAAACCATTTTATTCCTTAGATTTGAATATGCATCACAAAGACATAACAAAACACTAGTTAGACATTACGTCATGTCCAATTATCAATCTACTGTAATCTTATAATTAAGATATTCAAATTTCTTATCAACCACGAGCTACAGATAGGAAACACCAGTTCATACATTTCCATATAAACAAAGCATTTTTTCACTCACTTGCATTTTGCCACTTTAAGCAAGTTTTCACACAGTAAATACCTTGATAGGCATAATTCTCAACATCTAAAAATCTATGTAAATACACATTTAATTACACAAACATATAAAGAGTTAGTGACATAATATAAATGGTAAAGTCTGTGTGAACAGTAGAAAACATACTAGAAGACAAAATGCTGATTAAGCCAAACTGAGCCTGAGTAACAGAATGGCCTTTTCCCCCTTCTTTTTAAAAATCTTCCCTCTCTCAATAAATTGAGTGTCATAGAATACTTGACTATGATACACTATGATGAGTGTATCAGCTTGTGGTTAACTAGTGAATAGTCTCTCTTCCAAACAGTCAAGAGATTTATCTGGCAAATCCATAGCCAGGAACAGTAGGAATTCACTGTCCAGATTCACAAGCTTTTAGAACAATGGCAAATTATTATTAATCATAATTAAGGACCAGCTAGGATGACCACAGTCATTATTTCCCTTTTTTTTCCCCTGTCGTTGATTTTTGTTGGTTGGGGGGGGGGAAGATGGGTGTGTCTTTGTTCCCTCCTTATTGCTTGCACATCTTGCTTCAATGTACAGGAAATGGGTTATTCACACATTCCCATCATTTCAAGGTGTTTTTAGAAGCACAAGTCAATTAGGATATGTCTTCTGGCCTACTATGATACGTAAACAAGTAAAGCAAGAGGTTTAAACACTTCCTCTGTTGTAAAGTCTTTTATAATCTAGAAAATGATAATGTATTATACCATGGTCAGGCAAAAGGTGATACTGGGAATATGCTGTGTCAGTCATCTTCAAAGTATGTATAATTCTAAGTAACGAATTTCCATATGGTCACCAGAAGAACTGAAAGGCCAAGCTACTTTGATATAGACTGTAAGAAATGCAATACACATTGGGTTTACCTAAGGCACACAGTAAGCTCAAATGACAACCCAGACTACAACCATACATTTATCCTACTGCAGGGATTTTAAGTAGGAAAGTAGTTTCACACGGTTTTTAGCTAAACTGGTATGAGGACGTGTGGCAGTTGGCATAACCTTGGCCTACTTGACAGCAGCGTTAGCATATGTAGATGAACTTTACTTGACATTGTAGAAGAGAGTTGCTTAGTTATAAAACGGAGATGTAACAAGTGTAAACAACCTGTTAAACAACTTGAGCCGTGAACTTGTTGAGAAAATCGAGTTAAGCAGACAGAGAACCTCAGCAGGTGATTAGGGACCAAGTTTTAGAATCACCCATTCACGCATCAGGCATTCTCCACCCAATCCAGTAAATTATGGTGCTTGGAGTCACTTGGAGAGAGAACCCCAAGGGCCCCACAACTGGGCGCCAGGAGAGCTCTCTTCCAGAGACACCCGAGAGGATAAGGATGCTCAAGGAAGGATGGCATAGGATGGTTTGGCATGGTGTGGGTAGAATCACTGTACTAACCCATCTGACACCTCTCCTGGAGAAAAGCTGGCATGACAACATCTACTTTCATATAACTCCATCACACAACATACCTTGCATCGACAATAACTTTAAAACAGTAATAGGAAGGAGTAAGCTTTGCTCCTTCTCCTTAAGTGAATGAACAACTGAAATTAATTTCTATTACCTTAGAACTTCTATGAAACAGTATATGCAAACACTCAGATTTGCATACCAATAGAAAAAGATTGCTTTTACTTTACTGACATCAACAGGACAAAGCACACCAAATTCAATTTTTTTAAAGCAATTGCATGAAAATGTTAAGATAGACCTGTAACTTAATCCAGTCTTACACAATAATTATTCAATTTATGACACCTAAACAAACTAAAACAAGAGAAAAAAAAAAATCGGTTAACTGAACATGAAGCTGCATTAAGGCAGACTAACACATCTCTTTCCTTGAAGATAACAAAAGACAACCAGAAAATCTGTCAGGTCGTAAAAGAGAACTATGAAAAGGAGTATCCAAAAGAGACAAAGGCCACAATAACACTTCATCCAATGTTCTATTGATGCGTGAAAGGAGTTCCCAAAGCAGAGACAAAAACAGAAACACAAAAAGGTTCAGGGGTTGGCAGAACAACTTACAAAACAAAGCCAACAATGAGAAGTCACAGAAGGTTTAAAGAAAACTGAAAACAAAATAACTTGAGTACTTGCTTTTGTATTTAAATTCTTACTGAAAAGTGTATTCACACCCAAGAAAAGGAAGATGACAGAAATTATGCTGCTATCTACAAGGACATTTTCAGGAAGATCTGGGCTACTACAGACTGGTAAGCTTGACTTTTCTACAGTGTAAATATATTGAAAGCATAACAGAGGACAAAATTAATGAGTAACATGAAAAAAATGTAACATGAATAAATGAACAGTATAAATATATGCAACATGGCTTTGTAAAGTGAAGTCCTGTTTCACAAACCCATAAAAGTTGTTTGAAAGACTCAAGGAGCAGGCAAGAATACTCTGATCGGCCTAAGTCTGGACTACATAAAATAAAGTTTGTGAAATGTTAAAAGCACTTAGAAAAATTAAGAAAACAGATCTGTTACATAGCCAAATTCCAAAATTCTAGAAAATAAAATTAAATTCCATGTATAGAATTACTTTTTAAAATAATATTTTAGGGTCAAATATTACTTGGCTGTACTAAGGTTTGTTGAAGTAATGTTTCCTTGCTACTTTTTTTTTTTCAAGCTCTATCTATTTTATGACAGCAATGTAATGTGGAAAAATGAATAAAAATATTAATAACATTAAAAAATATTCCACATATAAGGCTAGAAACTGCAACACAATGAAAGCCTGTGCATGTCCTTTCCCCATATTCTTTACAGTTAGATCAATTACACCATCACCTAATGAATAACAATTAAAAACCTACACATATTAAAGACAAATATATTTATGTTGTGTTTTCTTTCAGAAAGGTACTGCCACTACATTAATAGAAGTCAATTTTAAAAGAACTCGGTTAAATAGGATTATAGGTAAGAGGACCACAAACCTTGACCATTCTGTCTTAAATAAAGTATGTTGCCTGGAGAAAGACCTTTCTGATTTGGGCATTTTTAAATGAATAAATAAGAAACAGACAAGAAAAACTGAGGATTGAACAACCCACTTGGAAAACTGCTAAGTTCATAACAATTTGGGGTGTTAACTGACAAGATGGATTCTTCATCTTTGTAGTGCCTGTCAGAACTATTATTGCTCCTCCCTGAAATCTGTTATTTCCCTAATTTTATGCATTTTGATTCTATACATACATTTACAGTATTTTAGAAACCTGAAGGAAAATATGACTTAGTTAACTTGTAATTCATTGTCTTCAAATGAAACCAAACAAAACCTTTTTATTACTCCTGAAGCCTGTTTCTATGCATGTGCTGTTTCTAACAGTTAGTCTAATATTTGTTACTATAATGTTGTTACTACTGAAGCATCACGCTACACAAGGTAAGAAAAAGTAATCCTAACACCAAAAAAGAAAGTTACAAATGCCAAAAGAAAAATAAAAGGAAAATCCTTAGTCTTTCCTACAATCAAAACCCTCACAACAATTAAAAAAGTTTCAAAACCACCTAAGGGGCCCAGTTGACTTTCACCTCACAGTAATTGTCTTACGAGCACTCAAGAGAAAAGAAATTATGACACTTCTGTTGCATAACCAAGCATTTTTGGACCCTGAAAAAGCTCCTGATGTTCAGTACTTGTCAGTCATACCCTTTAAAAATATTGTTCAGAACATGTGGCCTTGTAGCCCCGTTACTTTTGCTACTAACAGGCTACAGGCTTTGTAGCAAGCTAACACCACATGCTCCCAGACGTGCCAGGCTTTACCAAGACTTGGGTCCCCTTCCTGGAGGTCTGGTTTTGGCTTATTCTGCTCTAACAGGACTTGTATAGTAACAAAATTACTACCCACTGGGCTAGTTTTAAATTTTCTTAGCCTTGTACAAGTTTGTGGCATAAAGTTCACTGCTACATACAGTTCTATAACTAGCAGATAGATGGATGACCCTAAATAAAATGCAGCACAGAAAACTAGAGACATGGGATGCGAGCAGAGACACGCGTTAGCACTACTGCAAATAATTTCATTAGACCCTTAACACTTTGTTTAGACTCGCAACGATTTCTTGGCTTTGAATATAAGGTGTACTCCTTAGGCCCACAAACTAACACTGTGGAGAATCTGATCAGTCTCAGACGCAACAAATGGTAGAAAATGCAGGCAATCAAAGCAGTTAACATTTAGTGCCACAATACCTCACAGAATATATTGTCTTTATTATCAAAGTATAGTCTTCATTCTTTATCTTTAAACCTTTTTGTATTTGTTTTGGTATGCATCCACTTTACCAAACCATCCACTTTAGCAGAATTTGTATTTTTCTTCAGCAGCCGTGATGAAAATTTTTACTCCCCTTAATTGTGAGTTTACTGAGTTGAAACTTGTTACAGCATCACAGATTTATCTCTCTGGAGCACTGAGTCTCTCATTCAGTTAGCTCTGCCATTCAAAGCCAGTAATTCCATCCACTGAGAGATGCCACCAACACTTGCACTCCTGTTAACATCACTGAGGTATTTCCATGATTGTAAACTTTATTGGACAACACTATCATATAGCCAGAAATAAACTGTAGCACTGCAAGGTTACATTTACACTGCAAATCATGTCAAACTCCATGTTGTTTGATTTGTCATTGTTATCAGCAGTTTAAAACACAGTATATGTTCATGCAAAACTTCATGTGAACGGACTGCTAAGCAAGGAAT